AAAAAAGAACTTTAATTCATTTCATTCGAGATGCACTTTATAGTATTGCATGATAACGGCCAATGACAGTAATTAACAGTGAAATTGGTAAAATAATGACCATAAAGATAACGATACCATCGAAAGGAAAGATTTTTGTGTCATTTTAACTGAGTTGAACTGATCATTTTAACGGTTGAGGGTAGCCGTGACCGGTGATGAACTCTGATTGAATATGATGAATATTCGACACCTGAAATGAAATGATCTAAACAAAATTAATAATAACAGAAAGGAATTGAAAAAAGGATCCATCGATAAACTGATCAACAAATTTCGAGTAACCCAATAAACCCCAAAAAATGCTTTCTACATCCTATCCAGACAGACAACAAAACAATCGCCATCAAATTCATTAATGATACACAGATCTGTCTATCGCCAACATTCACGATTGGTTCAATTAATTAAACAGCACTGATAAACGAAGAGCTTTATAAATGGATGGGTGATAGAAGATGAAATGTTAAGATCAAACAATACCTGATAATCAACTGTTCAATTAACTGCATCCGTAGAAGGAATGACAGCTGGTTTCGATGCCAATAAGTTTATAACGTTATCCGGTATTACACTATAGATTAGATCCAAGAATGCATGTGCTAAATTGCTCAACGACGTCAATGGTTGCATCAGTTCCTTAAATTTGTTTACTCTCATTACAATATGCCACATTTCATTTGTTAATACTACTGATCCTCACACGAATCGTCCAGTATAAAATGAAATAAATTTAATAACACAAACGGATATCGTAAATGGCAACAAAAATACAGCAGCGATTCATAATCAAGCAACAAACCAATAGATCCTTACCTTCGGATATTGATGAGTGACGATAGCTAGAAAGGCCGTCAGTAAACAGAGTAATGCTGTGAGTACCGTGAAAAACGGTAAATCTCGTTTTGGATACACAGAAACTTCATGCCAAGCTGGAATTAATTGCATATTATTCGAAGGAATCCATTTTTCGTAATCAAGTATAGTATTTCGAAGAGAACTACCAAAATTTACACCTAACCAAATTCATTAAAATGCTAAAAATAAGTTACGTTTATACTGCTTATAAAACCCTAGCAGTTATTTACGAAAAAAAAACCCAATAAACATTCTGATAAAAGCAATAAAACAGTAAACAAGCAAAATTAAATATTGCTGGCAGTAATATAAATCAAAAAATAAACAGAAACATCCATAGAAATTACTTGGTAAAAGCTCTCGATCGGCAGCCTCTGTACAAGATGGGTATGGATAGAAAAGATGTCCTTTTTCGAGCGGATTTGGTATCATACGAAATGCTGAAAATTATTGTGAATCAATGAATGCGCATCCTTAACTAATCTCTTGATCAAAGTTTCGGCAAGGCATTCAAAAGCACTGCTAACATGGTTCGTAATAAGGATTGCTTGTATTTGAACTGGATAATATATCACAAACGAACAAAAGACAATGTTCCACACGTTACAATTAACTGATCAACACAAACTACTCACTTCCTTCCCAAGTGCACTGCAACAGAGACAACGCACCATCGATCCGTTTCCAGTGTTGCAGATGCCAGAATGCGTATGCGATCGCCTCTGAATCACCGCGTTTCAATAAATGCTCCGGAGGCAGTATCAACGGTTTCAACTCCAGCAGATACTTGGCCACATGAGGATTGAATTCGACCGCACGATGGATCGCATCCACTGCGTTCAACTCGGCGGCACTCAAGCCACGACGCTGCACAAAATCCGGTGTGAATCTTCAAACACATACCGATTAGTCTGATGCTTATTCGCATTCATATCTCTTACTATTAGTAATACACCAAACAACTCACTTATCTGCCACAGTACGAACTTTCAACAACGCAGACGTGAAACAAATGGTGGCTGATTTCGGTAAACTGATATCTGCAAGAAAATCATTTTACNGGCTCGAACTTCGCAACTGCTAACTGATCTTTTTTTGATCGACTAATCATTACGATACTCTCCATCACCACTGCATATAATCACCACTATTGGTGTCGTCAATGTTTACCCATCTCCACAAATCACATTCATTTACAGTAACATAAAACTGACTCCAAATGAATCTGTAGTAATTCTGGTGCATACAGACACTTATATGTGCAATTTAATCCGTCGACTCTAGGATTTCAGCAGCTCTGATTCTTCAAAAATGTGGCAAAAAATATTCACAAAATATTCAATCAAAAAAGTTTTGAAAATTATTACGAACTCACCATCGTATCTGGCCAAAACAGCCTGTGCATCCGCATAAGCCTGTTGCTCTAATAGAACTTCGATGAGATTCTCGTGAATATTCATCACATTGAGCATTGGAAATTCTTTTATCAACTGAAATAACAATACGAAATACTGTATTCAGATATTCACACATTCAATCCACATGCAACCATTTATTCATTCTGTTTAGAAAACTCTTCGACTCTGCCATCAGCAATGAGATAAACCGATGATTCTCGAACGGCGGATACGCAGTGAATCTCACACAGCACATTTCGATTCGATTGAAAACTGATAATTAAGACGAGTATCATGAGAGAATAATGAATAGAACAACGCACATCGCGCATCATTTTCACGGCCTCTTTTAATCGACCTTGACGTCGTGCACACATCGCTAAACGTCTTCGCACAAACACCAATAAATTCACATCTCGTCCTTTAACACACACCCATTCTCATTATCAACAACAACAACAATATCAAAAACACTTCTAATTATTCGTTTCCGTGTATTTTTGATTCTCTGCGACAATTATTAAGTAATGTCAACAACAATAAAAAACAAAAAACAAACGATGAACAGGATCTGATGCAACATCGTAATGCATTTGTGATTGCGTCTTTCGATAATTCGCTTCTGTTGCTTTCAGTGCTCGCCTGCAAATGAATTTACATACGTACTCACATCGGTCATAATATATGTACTATTCAAATTGAAGAACTCATTAAATAACACGAAATTTACAAAGAATAAAGAAGATATTTTTGGTAGATCAAAACAACCGACAACGTTTTCATCTGCAAATGGTACCGACTGCTTTGATGCGCCAAGAAAATAAACGAAACAAATCGAATGCAACAAAACCAACTTAAGTGTTTGTTCAACATCAGCGATCGTTTGGCATTCTTCTTCGGCCAGAAGAATCAATGCTGGCGCACAGTCCGGATTTATTTCCAGTGCTTTATATGCGGCATTTATTCGCGAATAACTGTCTCGTTCTCGCCAAGCCACTTGCATTACTGTAATCACATCTATTCAACTTAAGTTCCATCAGTCTCAATTTCTTTCACAATTTTCCACTAATATTTTCCAATCAAAATTTGGAACATCCACGAAAAACTTAGGCACAATTTATGCGTCGCTGATTCGAATATACTTGGATTGGTCAGCTTATCGAACATTTGTAATCATACTGACCACAACAATGCTCGCAACGTTTCCGTTAGGACTGTTTTACAGCTTTGATTGACACCATCCCGCTGGCAAGGCGAGCACGCCAACCAAACACTAACCAGTGATGATTAATTAATTGATTCGAATAAAATTTTTCGAAAACCATTTGAAAACCAAACGATAACAACCGACTTTCATAATCCTGTTTACCGGTATCGCCGTCACACGTGAAGAAATTCTGATGATCTTGCGCCGACAAATTCATGTCGTAATACGTCAACGGCTCTTTACCCGTCATTTTTGTGAACCGTTGATATTCGGCACCACGAAACAACGCCGTTGGATTACGCCACACTTTACATTCTAAATCAACAAAGCTGAACTGATCACGATGAACAACTCGGTGAAATGGTCGAATATTTTTATGAGAGGATATAATCGGTTAGAAATTAAACCAATGTGTAAGCACAGCAATGATAATAATAACAATGAAAATGATAAAACAAAACTGTTCCACAAACAAGTGATGACTACCTGGCACAGATCGACTAGCTGATTCGACACCGTCTTCATTATCGCTGCCATCCTCACTACCGGTACCGTTTTCACCGGAATTACTGAATCATACGATAACAAATAACAATTT